AAAAAAGAGGCACGAGAACGAAACGTGTCGAGATTGAGCACCTACGTCAATATACCGGTTACGCGCGCGCGACCGTCGTCACTCTGCTCGCCGGTGGACGAAAAGTTTCTCACGAAAAAAAAGGGAGGATTGTACGGTGGTCGACTTTGTCGAACAGAAACGAAAAACGATCCTTCGCAAGCCACGCTCTCTTTTTCCCTCCTCTTCTCCTATTTCTTCGTGCAGTCAGGAGAGAAGATGCGCCTCCTATACAAGGAAACATAACGCATGGATGCAGGCCACAGTGTGTTGCGCTTGCCTAAAAAAGAATATAGACACATGGATACTCCATGTTGGAGGAAGAGAGAAAGAAAAATGAAATTACCAAAGTCAGGTGTCGTCCTATTAGTATTTACAAGGGAAATGTCAAGCCGATGTTGCGATTCGTCGGTGTCCGCAGTTTCTAGTTTCTAGTTTCTACCGCGCCTTCGACTTGCCGCTTAGATCGCTTACGTTACGTTACGTTACTTACGTTGCTTACATAATAAACGATGAACTCTCGGAGAGCCTCGTCTCTTTACCTTTCTCATCCTATGGCCCGCAGTCTCTCCTTTCTTTTCTAGTTGGCCTCGCGGACGCAACAGCGAAGCAGACACGGCGACAGCACATGAGCGCATCGCGATGAAGTCCTCCGGTATATCCAGAGTATCAAAGGGGGAAAAATGGTCTGGAACGGTAGGGAGAGCAGAGAACGGGAGGTCGAACGTTACGCCAGAGAATTTCTTCTGGCGATCTTCTTCGTCCCGATAGTAGCTGTCGGTACCGTCTTCCTCTTCTTATCCACTTGTACGATATCTTTTGCGCAACTTGATTGGCTTAGCTTAGGCACGACGCACATAACCTATTCCGCAACCCATTCCGATTCCGACTGTGAGTTATTCGTCTATACTGAGAGTGGATTCTAAAATCCCGCGCACGATCTCAACAGTTTCGTGTCCAACGCGAATTCGAACGTGTGTAATTGTTTGTAATAATAATGATGACGATGATGATGACGACGAATGACGATGATAAAAATAGGCATTCCCTCTCGGTGGGAATGAAAAGTAGTAATGTAATTGCTGTTATATTCTCCTTTCTCTTTTTCTTTCGAGTCCTACAACCTGGTGAAAGACGCGAGAGTGAACTTTTAAGCGGCCGATCCTCCACGTAGATTATTTCATAAGCATTCCCAATACGGAAAAGTTCATCCGCTCTTACCGAGTGGATATATGAGCACAAGCTTGTTGCGCAAGTGATTCGAAGCCGTGGATTGCTCGTTCATGCACTCCCTTGCTTCTTTGCTTACTCACACGCATCCGTGTTCAGATCCTCTGGCATAAATGCATATATAAATATATACGTACATATACACACACACACACACATACACCTTTGAAAGTAAAGCTTTACAAGGCTTAGTTCTTTAAAAATATTTGAACATTCGGGATCGACTAAAGACGTCGTAACCGTTAGACACGTGCTGCCCTCTCTCGTCTTTTCACTCATTTAGCAGTAAAAAGCATGTTTATTCCAAATAGCACGTACGTCTAATAATTAGCAAATGTTTTAATATAGTAGATAATCTTGGTAAATAATTAACTCAAAATATGCAGTAATTATTCAATGTAAATATTTAATAATAATAATTATAGTAATACAATAATATAAATATTTAATAATAATAATTATAGTAATACAATGATCTCTTCTAGATCTACAAAAATTAGTATTTTTATTATTTTAGTGTGTATTTAAATGAAATTGAATAATGTAAATAATGTAAATATTTCATAATGATAATTATAGTAATAACAATAATCTTTTCTAGATGTATAAAAGCTAGTATTTTTATTATTTTAGTGTGTGTATTTAAATGAAATTCAAAAGACTGTCTTATTAGTATTATCGTTGCAAATACCATTTGTCTACTGAGTTTCATAGTAAATAAAAATAAATAATAAATTCAACAAAGTCTTCTATCTATCAAAGTTATAAAATATAAAATCATAGTTTCTATTTATATTTTATATAGTAATATTACACAAAATACTAAGCGACAGATCGTGATTATTTGTGATTATGAAATAATTGTAAATTATTATCTTACGATAGCTTACAATATAATAACAGTTTTTTTTTATTTGGTTAGAGAACAGAACGAAAAATATAATTCAATTAAAATATTAAACATGAGTATTTTTACATCAATCTATAATCTATATAATATAATAATACAATAATAATCGGTAACATATGATATAATAATATATTTGTCAATAATATATAGTAGCATTAGAGCTGTTGGATCAATTTTTATACTATCTTGTAGGTGGTTTTATCTCGTTTTTCAATTCTCCCTTTTTAAACAGACATGAAAGTACCAGCTAAACAGATGAAGCAATTGTAGCTTGTTTCATGTTCTTCCAGCAAGAAATCGAAAGAAAGAAAGAAAGAAAGAAAAAAAAAAGGAGGAGAACAAGGAGAGAAAAGCGTGAAACCATGAAATGGCTTTCGTGCGCTGCGTGCTCGTTATGTAAGTTGA